CGACGATATTTTGAGAGGAGGGTTTACATTAGTTCAAACTTCCTTTCATATCGTATTTTTAGCATAATTGTCCGACTGATCACTGTCACAACGTCACCATATTGAACTTTTGTAAGAAAAAAAGGTATTCTCTAATAATGCAATCTATATTCTCTCATTTTCTTCACAATAACGTCACTACAGTGATTTCGTATCCTTTAATATAAACTAGTTTTCTGTGCCTGTTCCTGAGCACCGAAAATATGAATTTCTCTGTCTCTACTGCCTTCAAATCGCTCATCAGCTGCCATCTTCCCTTTTTTATATTATTAAATCAAAATCAGCAGTTGCTTCTACATACTAGACATGCGTAATGTCTTTCAATTTTCAATTCTTCCTCTTCCTCTTACTGATAACAACAAAGGCTCTAACGAATGTTTTCATATACCACTAGGAACTGTTAACTTGGTCTTATACAACTTCTACAAATTTCTAATCCTGTTTCTCCTCTAACTTTTGTCAGATGTAACCTGGTTATGTCGCAATTAGCATAGAATACATAATTCAAATAATTTCTTTGATATTTAAGGATTACAATTCCTTTTCATTCCATATCAATAGTGCTACAGTGGTCTTTTTATCTAAAACTTTTATGAGCTATTTTTTTCATGATTTCCTATATACTTTTCATCACTTCTTTCCCCACATAAATAGATTTTCAGTTTCACAAGAAAGGGAAGCCAACACTGTTCACAATAATTCCCGTCGCTCACCAGCTGGGCCTTCCTTGGAATGTATCACCCTTACGCTCTTCAGAATCACAACCGTATTCGCAATCGACCAATTCCTTTCAGATATTTCAACGAAACAGGTTTTCTGTCTTATGCACGTAAATAATGAATCGATTTGGACATGGGTCTTACCGTGAAGTTTGATACTGACCATGAGAAAATAAATGGTCCTCTGTTACTTTATCTTATTCAACTTCCTCATTAGTAACGTCAACAATATATCCCCCCCCCTCACAAAAAGCAAAGGGGACAGGCTTTCACCTTGAAATAGCTCTCTTCTAACGCATACATGCCCTAAGCTCTATCGTGAATCTTCATCGAGGGCTATGTGTGATTTTCCTACGATCCAGGCCTCATAATACTTGGTGAACCGTAACTGCCTCTCTGTTATCGATCAAGCCGTAACTAAACCGGTATAGGTTTATTTACGATCTTTAAGAACTATTTAGTCAATTTGACATTCCTTTCGCTCCCAAAGTCAACCTAGAAAAAATCCAGTTTTTTCTTCAATGGGATCTAGGACAGTTTTTATTTGGTTGCTCAGGAGGCCACTGAAGTCGCCTCGAAAATTGAATTGTTCATCCTCGTCATAATTGTTGTGCAATATCTCTTAATTGGGATTTTCTTGGCTATGGAATCCATTCCTCATGTTTTTTTCAGTACTAGTAAAACTTTAATATTAGGTTTAAGGCTGATTTGTACTTGATTCAGCAATATTTAATGGAAATGACAACTTGACATTTATGATTAATTTCATAAATTTTTCTTTGTGTGAAAGCCTCATTATGAGAATCTTCCAAGGATCTCGCAAACGACATAGTAATTAAATCCAGTTAGTGCAAAATTCATGTGAAGATAGGCAAATTAAGGTATTTAATTTTGCTGCTTCCAATTCTGGGAAGTTCTCTCTCAGCAATATATTTAGTTCAGGTCTTTAATTTGTCACAGGAACATGAGGTTGTCACAAACAGTAAGGGTATACATGCCAAGGGTTGCTATCATTATCCCTATGATCTCTATCAGAAAATCAGGAAAAAAATCGTAGGAAACTACATTTGAAAGTTCCGAAATAAAAGACCGACTAATTTCATACGGAAGAAATACTTTTCCCTTGGCTTACAGTGTCTGCCTTCTAAGAACCCGCACACTCACTTTGCTGTTATATTAGTTTAAGCTTCTTCAATAAGGGTAAACAATGGCAGTCCAACGATGTCCACAAATCTCTTGTGGTACCTTTCAGATATAGCAATATTGCTGCATGCCATTCACTTGGAGAAATTATTTCTGTCAACCAAGGTTTTATCCATCTGAACTGTTATTCTTTAGTGATTTGCGATTAGTTTCCATAACCAGAAATCCCTACATCGACTCTGAGGTTTTTCAATGAAGAATATTTCTACGTCGCACCTCAACCGCTGAATACTAAAAGTCGTCCTGCAGTTGCGGTGTGGCAACTTCTTGTTCTTGTAACAATTTGCCTGCTGGTTATGTTCCTTTTCCCGTCGCAGATTCCCAGAATCTGCCTTTTCCACTTATAATAACTTTCCTTGCCTTGGCATTAAACTCCTGATAGGTTCATTTTGATCTATAAAAACATTCCGTTTGTATATTGTATTGTTATCCTGTAGTCATAGCTAAGCACTTTTGCTTTCTTTGCTTCTTTTCACATCATTTGTTAATAACCAAATATTGAATGTTCAAAAACACCCATTTCCTATCTGTATCCTGTC